AACAGTGTTGTGCTCGCCAATTAGATGCCTCCGAGCAGCTCGCGGACGATGAGGAGGTCGACGCCCTCGGCGACGATCTCGGGCCGCAGCGGGCACGCGTGCGCGATCGAGGGGAAGATCGCCGCGGGCCGCAGGTTGACCGCCAGGTCAAAGGCGCGCCGCATGCCGAGGATCGAATTCTTCTCGGCGTCCGCCCACTTTGGCAGGTGCTGCTCAGCGACCGGGCCGCCGACCGAGCCGTAGAGGATGGCGGCCGAGCGCGCGCACAGCTCGCGCGTCGACTCGGGGAAGTGCTCCCCGTGCGCATCATAAGCCGCGCCGCCGATGAGCGCGGGCTGCAGGTCGAGCGAGAGGCCGAATTTTCCGGCCGCCTTGTCGAGCACCTTGACGGCCTCATCCATCACCTCGGGGCCGATCCCATCGCCCGGGAGGACCGCGATCGTGTGCGCGCTCCGCGCGGCGAAGGAGCGCCTGATGAGACCACGTGCCAGCATCGTCGAGCTGCCGACGAGGTTTGCTAGCCGAGGTGCCCGCCAAAAGGAAGAAAAATAAAAATTTTCTTTCTTCTTTTTGGGACCGTTGTGAGAGAGAGAGAGAGAGAGAGAGAGAGAGAGAGAGAGAGGCGTCGCGGGGACGCTCTTCTGTTCAGTCGACGCTCGTCGTCCACTGAGAACTCAGTGGTTGTCACCACTTTGTATTCTTTTAATATTAACCTTGCGAACTCGTCCCCCCCGGCAGGGCTATGCAACTGTGACCAGTGTGTGCTGTCTACGCCTGAACCAGGTGTCAAATCTGCCGATGCGTGACCTGTGCGTGGGCTGCTCTGTGAGGGGTCCAGGCGTAGTCCGACGGGTAGGGGGTCTGTGCGTTTTGTTATACCAAAAAGAGGGCTACACACGGCCCTCTACGCTGGGGCGCCGGCGCCCAGATCACGTGCATTTTCTTTCTTTCTTTTGGGACCCTGTTGTGTGGGTGAATCCTGCCCACACTGGATGGTCTTCCCCCGGCCCGTGCCGGGTACTCGTCCAGTCGATCTGACGTTTGGAGCGGGCTCATTTCACGTTTCAAAACATCGAAGCGTGCTCAAAAAAGAAAGCGCCCGCTCACACCAATCCTCGCTACCCAACGCGGCCGAAGGATATCCACCTCGAGAACCTCCGTAGCTCGGCCCGCTCGTTTCCTCGAGGCGACCTAGGAATTCGTAAGGGAGCATCCGTAAGTGAGCAGAGCAGATTTGTGTCAACACACAT